CATGGGGCGATATGCCGAAGCGAAATGCCTCGCCATTAATCCGCAGCGTCCCGAGTTGCTCGCTGTTGGAGCAAATGACCCGTACATCAGGCTTTATGATCGGCGGATGATAAAGCTTACCACCGTGGAGGTAAGTTTATGTTGCAATGCGATTGTGAACTGGAGAAAATGTAGGAGGAGGTCATTGCGGTGTATTTTTTAACACAGTTGCCATTGCGTGGATTGAAGTTGGACTCTGCTATTTTTTTTAAGTCATTTTACTGCCTGTGAAGGTGTTTACTGCGTTGAAAATAAAGATACAGTCTCGTTTAGATAAAGACCAATAGGAAGGCAGATAACGCTTCTTGTTCTTTCTGCTCCGAATATATCACTGAATTCCACAGTCTCTGTTAAAGATAATGGTAATTAAATGAGGAAGTGAGAAAAGTGGGCGACGTCATTAGTGACGTCAACAGATAGTCACAGATGTGTACGTGCAACACGTTTGACAGTGAAAATTCTATGGAGCTTTATTTAGGTAACGACTATCTTAATTTCAGTACCCGCCGGACAACGTGCCTCGCTCCAATTGGGAGCGCCAGAACTACATGGCATCTCGAGCCGGAGAAGGAGAGCTGGAAGATAACTTACCACATGGCTGTGTTCAGTATTATGTTGCAGGTTGGTGCAAGAAGATGTCTGTCGGTAAAACATCATTATTTTAACTATAGGCAAATTGAAAAAATATGTTTCCTGTTGGTTTTATAGTCTTATGGATTTTAATGCAGTATGAGCTTGTACGTAGACACCGGAATTTGGGGGAACGTACTGCTTCTGTTCCTCCAGAACTTTGGTATTTCTACCGAAGAGTCCGCAAAAAGAGAAAAGAAAACTTATGTGTCAAACATTGACGTCTTCACCGCCTTGGGTACCTCAACTTATGGTCTGTCTCTGTCTGCTTTTGCTAGGGCATCTTCCGGTAAAGCAGCAGGACTACCGGAAGAAATACAGGAACCTGGCCTCGACATACGTGACATTCAGCGCTGGTGGCAATGAGCTGCTGGTAAATTTAGGCGGAGAACAGATCTACTTGTTTGACATAAACAACAAACGGAAACCAAAGAAATATGATATTCAGGCTGTTAATCTTGACAGTCTGAAAACATTTAAAGGTAATTGTTAGATTTGTTTTGTTAATCATTGATGTAAAAAAGGGGGCAGAGTGAACTACCAGCACGTTACATGTAAAGATGTAGCGGAAATGAAGGATATTTGTTACTAAGGCTGTTCATGCTGTAGCAAAATATGGGAAGATTTGTAATCACATCGACACTTCCAAAACGCATTTTTAGGTCAATTAACACGTGCATAACCGTAGGTATTTGGTTACAGCGATTTGTGATTGCAGACGGTGTCTGACAGAAAATTTTAATAAAGAATGTGAAAACATAAAAAGGTAAATTTTGCTGTTTCATTGCTCTATGAAAGCAAGTTCACTTATAATTTCAGATTGTCGTGGTTCTTCAAATGGTTATAGTAACGGCTTCCGAAATGGTACCAATGGTTTTGCAGCCAGTTCAAATGGCGTTACTCGAAGTACCAACGGGATGACGTCCATATTTCCAGTGACTGAAAGAAGGAGTGATATTGGAACACCGTCACTGCCAATCAGAATTCAAGCTCTGAAATTAAGTGTAAGTACTTACTGTGTTCGAAAAAGGTACTTAACATTGGTTGCAAGTCCGTGTATAATTCAGTTCTTAATTTGTCCTTTGCTTGTTTTCCTAATTTGCTGTCTGTGAAGTGTCACAAGCCGACTGAAAATCCGCTAGGGAATTTGTTGTATTTCGGTAGCATCGGATCAGTCAACAGAATTCGGACGTGACTAACGTAAAAACATCTCACGTGTCAATGAGAGTGGGGGATGGTTTGTGATGCAGTTGGCAGGCTTGAATATTCTACAGTTGAGACTGAAAGTTGATGATCTGAGTTGTGGCACCATGTGGACTCGTAGGTCATAGCAGGATTTATATTAATATTCTTATTTAAATCTTCAATCAGGTATGCAGAGTTAATTACACTGAATTAATTAGGTATACTGGAGAAAACTTAAATTGAGGAGTTCCATAATTTGTAGTTTTCACCAAATAAGAGGATGATCGCATATCAGGGACGATGAGGTGGGTGGGGCATGTATTGGACGATGACGGACGTATACAAAGTTTGTTTTAAAACCTGAAGAGAAGAGATCACTCAGTAGACCTGAGAATGGGAGAATGATATTAAAATGGATCTGAAACGGCAGTCAGTATCTACCAGACTACATGGTGCAACATCGCAGAAGACAACTGTATTCATACTTATCTCAGTGAGAAACTTGAATCTCACACAGCCTGTCTTATTTTTACAGGCAAATGACGCTTTTGAGAGGCAGCGTTTTACGTTAGCTATCAGCTTGTACAATAAAGCAATTGGCTACTATCCATCAGCAGCTGTTCTGTATGGAAATCGGGCCGCAGCGTACATGAAAAGGGGCTGGTAAGCACACGCAGCATACAGGCATACCAACCGAGAGCATAAATACTTATCTGTTTCTAGTCTTAGGAGGGGTGCTGTCAGATTGGATGGGTTTAAGAACTTCTGTTTTGAAAATATGTACGACGTTCACTAGGTGGTGGTAGAAAAATACTGAATCGTGTTTTAACAGGGATGGTGATATATACGCAGCGATGCGAGATTGCCACACGGCCCTTCAGCTGGATCCCGGTCATATGAAAGCTCATTTCAGGTGAGTTTGCGATTTGGAATTAATGATTCATGACAGTTTCATTAAGAACGAAAATCTTGTGGTTATGTCTACGGTAACACCGACGACAGGCTGGCGATTCTTTTTCACGTCACTGGTAACTTTAGCGGAGATCATGGATCAGATCTGATGAATGTTCTGTAATTGTTACAATGTGCATGCAGTTCCTAACTTGTGAACCGCGTTGCAGATTGGCGAGGTGTCTGTACGAACTGCAGTGGGTGCAGGAAGCGTCAGACTGCATGCAGGCATTCAAGAGCAAGTTTCCGGACCACATCCACAGTCACGCGTGCAAAGCTCTTGTCAAAGATATTGAAACGGCTAGTGCTTCAAAGCCTGGTTTTGGTAAGCCATGCCTTGTATTTCTGATTAGTATTTGAGTCGCGATGCGTCTTAAACCGAGTAAGATGTCATAGTTTTTCTTAGTCTCTGCAAGTAAATGCAGTAGTAATATACGCTAAAACCTCTCTACGTTGGACACTTGGGGTTCCACGAAAATTTGTCCAACTTACAGAGGTGTCCAAGATGGAAAGAGAAAAATCAGATTGTGGTCCAGTGACAATATAATCGATTTACTTACGTACACTAACTACTCTAGGCTTACTTGAATTAAGAATTAATGACAATAGTATTAATAATAATCTTTTGAAGTCCATTCCCATGCATTGGACATTACACCCCAGCCTCAATAAAATTTTCTAAAGTTAATTCCACCAATTTTCGCTTCCCCATCGCAAAAAGAAAAATTCCATTTCTGTTAACACAGTCCGAACTCAAATGCAAGCACAGCACTGACAGAGTTAAAACTGTGTCTTCTGCAAAACTGTAGTCCAGTTAAGGGTTCATAGTAAAACACTTGCAATGCATTCCAATGATGGGTTCAATGTCCGTAAGATAATCCTCCAGAGAGGAGGCATTCGTCAGTCAGAAATTCAAAATAACAAAATGTGTAACTGAAAAAGTTTCCCCCGAAAAGCATCGAAGTTAAGTGCACGAACCTGCCCAACTTACAACAAAAGGGGTGTTCAAGTTCCAGGATAAAGGGGGTGTCCAAGATATAGGGTGTTGTGGACATGTAAAATTATAGGATGTTCACCGGTTCCAATTAAAAGTGTCCAATATAAAGGGGTGTCCATGTTGAGGGGTTTTACTGTAAATAGTGTGTAATATTTTGCAGAGTAGTTTGTGTTGAAATACTTGCAATTTATGTCCATCTTGGACACGGCATGGGGCGATATGCCGAAGCGAAATGCCTCGCCATTAATCCGCAGCGTCCCGAGTTGCTCGCTGTTGGAGCAAATGACCCGTACATCAGGCTTTATGATCGGCGGATGATAAAGCTTACCACCGTGGAGGTAAGTTTATGTTGCAATGCGATTGTGAACTGGAGAAAATGTAGGAGGAGGTCATTGCGGTGTATTTTTTAACACAGTTGCCATTGCGTGGATTGAAGTTGGACTCTGCTATTTTTTTTAAGTCATTTTACTGCCTGTGAAGGTGTTTACTGCGTTGAAAATAAAGATACAGTCTCGTTTAGATAAAGACCAATAGGAAGGCAGATAACGCTTCTTGTTCTTTCTGCTCCGAATATATCACTGAATTCCACAGTCTCTGTTAAAGATAATGGTAATTAAATGAGGAAGTGAGAAAAGTGGGCGACGTCATTAGTGACGTCAACAGATAGTCACAGATGTGTACGTGCAACACGTTTGACAGTGAAAATTCTATGGAGCTTTATTTAGGTAACGACTATCTTAATTTCAGTACCCGCCGGACAACGTGCCTCGCTCCAATTGGGAGCGCCAGAACTACATGGCATCTCGAGCCGGAGAAGGAGAGCTGGAAGATAACTTACCACATGGCTGTGTTCAGTATTATGTTGCAGGTTGGTGCAAGAAGATGTCTGTCGGTAAAACATCATTATTTTAACTATAGGCAAATTGAAAAAATATGTTTCCTGTTGGTTTTATAGTCTTATGGATTTTAATGCAGTATGAGCTTGTACGTAGACACCGGAATTTGGGGGAACGTACTGCTTCTGTTCCTCCAGAACTTTGGTATTTCTACCGAAGAGTCCGCAAAAAGAGAAAAGAAAACTTATGTGTCAAACATTGACGTCTTCACCGCCTTGGGTACCTCAACTTATGGTCTGTCTCTGTCTGCTTTTGCTAGGGCATCTTCCGGTAAAGCAGCAGGACTACCGGAAGAAATACAGGAACCTGGCCTCGACATACGTGACATTCAGCGCTGGTGGCAATGAGCTGCTGGTAAATTTAGGCGGAGAACAGATCTACTTGTTTGACATAAACAACAAACGGAAACCAAAGAAATATGATATTCAGGCTGTTAATCTTGACAGTCTGAAAACATTTAAAGGTAATTGTTAGATTTGTTTTGTTAATCATTGATGTAAAAAAGGGGGCAGAGTGAACTACCAGCACGTTACATGTAAAGATGTAGCGGAAATGAAGGATATTTGTTACTAAGGCTGTTCATGCTGTAGCAAAATATGGGAAGATTTGTAATCACATCGACACTTCCAAAACGCATTTTTAGGTCAATTAACACGTGCATAACCGTAGGTATTTGGTTACAGCGATTTGTGATTGCAGACGGTGTCTGACAGAAAATTTTAATAAAGAATGTGAAAACATAAAAAGGTAAATTTTGCTGTTTCATTGCTCTATGAAAGCAAGTTCACTTATAATTTCAGATTGTCGTGGTTCTTCAAATGGTTATAGTAACGGCTTCCGAAATGGTACCAATGGTTTTGCAGCCAGTTCAAATGGCGTTACTCGAAGTACCAACGGGATGACGTCCATATTTCCAGTGACTGAAAGAAGGAGTGATATTGGAACACCGTCACTGCCAATCAGAATTCAAGCTCTGAAATTAAGTGTAAGTACTTACTGTGTTCGAAAAAGGTACTTAACATTGGTTGCAAGTCCGTGTATAATTCAGTTCTTAATTTGTCCTTTGCTTGTTTTCCTAATTTGCTGTCTGTGAAGTGTCACAAGCCGACTGAAAATCCGCTAGGGAATTTGTTGTATTTCGGTAGCATCGGATCAGTCAACAGAATTCGGACGTGACTAACGTAAAAACATCTCACGTGTCAATGAGAGTGGGGGATGGTTTGTGATGCAGTTGGCAGGCTTGAATATTCTACAGTTGAGACTGAAAGTTGATGATCTGAGTTGTGGCACCATGTGGACTCGTAGGTCATAGCAGGATTTATATTAATATTCTTATTTAAATCTTCAATCAGGTATGCAGAGTTAATTACACTGAATTAATTAGGTATACTGGAGAAAACTTAAATTGAGGAGTTCCATAATTTGTAGTTTTCACCAAATAAGAGGATGATCGCATATCAGGGACGATGAGGTGGGTGGGGCATGTATTGGACGATGACGGACGTATACAAAGTTTGTTTTAAAACCTGAAGAGAAGAGATCACTCAGTAGACCTGAGAATGGGAGAATGATATTAAAATGGATCTGAAACGGCAGTCAGTATCTACCAGACTACATGGTGCAACATCGCAGAAGACAACTGTATTCATACTTATCTCAGTGAGAAACTTGAATCTCACACAGCCTGTCTTATTTTTACAGGCAAATGACGCTTTTGAGAGGCAGCGTTTTACGTTAGCTATCAGCTTGTACAATAAAGCAATTGGCTACTATCCATCAGCAGCTGTTCTGTATGGAAATCGGGCCGCAGCGTACATGAAAAGGGGCTGGTAAGCACACGCAGCATACAGGCATACCAACCGAGAGCATAAATACTTATCTGTTTCTAGTCTTAGGAGGGGTGCTGTCAGATTGGATGGGTTTAAGAACTTCTGTTTTGAAAATATGTACGACGTTCACTAGGTGGTGGTAGAAAAATACTGAATCGTGTTTTAACAGGGATGGTGATATATACGCAGCGATGCGAGATTGCCACACGGCCCTTCAGCTGGATCCCGGTCATATGAAAGCTCATTTCAGGTGAGTTTGCGATTTGGAATTAATGATTCATGACAGTTTCATTAAGAACGAAAATCTTGTGGTTATGTCTACGGTAACACCGACGACAGGCTGGCGATTCTTTTTCACGTCACTGGTAACTTTAGCGGAGATCATGGATCAGATCTGATGAATGTTCTGTAATTGTTACAATGTGCATGCAGTTCCTAACTTGTGAACCGCGTTGCAGATTGGCGAGGTGTCTGTACGAACTGCAGTGGGTGCAGGAAGCGTCAGACTGCATGCAGGCATTCAAGAGCAAGTTTCCGGACCACATCCACAGTCACGCGTGCAAAGCTCTTGTCAAAGATATTGAAACGGCTAGTGCTTCAAAGCCTGGTTTTGGTAAGCCATGCCTTGTATTTCTGATTAGTATTTGAGTCGCGATGCGTCTTAAACCGAGTAAGATGTCATAGTTTTTCTTAGTCTCTGCAAGTAAATGCAGTAGTAATATACGCTAAAACCTCTCTACGTTGGACACTTGGGGTTCCACGAAAATTTGTCCAACTTACAGAGGTGTCCAAGATGGAAAGAGAAAAATCAGATTGTGGTCCAGTGACAATATAATCGATTTACTTACGTACACTAACTACTCTAGGCTTACTTGAATTAAGAATTAATGACAATAGTATTAATAATAATCTTTTGAAGTCCATTCCCATGCATTGGACATTACACCCCAGCCTCAATAAAATTTTCTAAAGTTAATTCCACCAATTTTCGCTTCCCCATCGCAAAAAGAAAAATTCCATTTCTGTTAACACAGTCCGAACTCAAATGCAAGCACAGCACTGACAGAGTTAAAACTGTGTCTTCTGCAAAACTGTAGTCCAGTTAAGGGTTCATAGTAAAACACTTGCAATGCATTCCAATGATGGGTTCAATGTCCGTAAGATAATCCTCCAGAGAGGAGGCATTCGTCAGTCAGAAATTCAAAATAACAAAATGTGTAACTGAAAAAGTTTCCCCCGAAAAGCATCGAAGTTAAGTGCACGAACCTGCCCAACTTACAACAAAAGGGGTGTTCAAGTTCCAGGATAAAGGGGGTGTCCAAGATATAGGGTGTTGTGGACATGTAAAATTATAGGATGTTCACCGGTTCCAATTAAAAGTGTCCAATATAAAGGGGTGTCCATGTTGAGGGGTTTTACTGTAAATAGTGTGTAATATTTTGCAGAGTAGTTTGTGTTGAAATACTTGCAATTTATGTCCATCTTGGACACGGAGGTGACCTGTTGGTCTGATATGTTGAAATCCTACAAATCAGATGGCACCACAATATGAATACATAAAATGAGTCACAAAAATTATTTATTAGTAATTAATTGATGATAATTTTTGAACTGAATTTCACTGTGAGTTCTCTTAGGAGTGTAAAAACACGTTAATGATACAGGAGTCACTTCTGAAGGTCAGACTGTGTGCATTTTGTTTTAAAGATGTGGACACACAAGATATGGACCCGGGACCTGAGCCATCGGACCAATACAAGAGTCACGCTGTAAACAGTTGTCCTATGTCACAGCAGGAGCGTGCATGGAGAGAATTGGCCTATGACTATGAGATACGATTTTGCGGTCATTGTAATACCACAACTGATATCAAAGAAGCAAATTTCTTTGGAAGGTAAATATTTTCATTTGGACTTCCCCCCCATTTGTACTTAAAATAGGAAGTGACACTTTATTGCACACTAATTTGACAAAGGTGTTGTTTGTGTGAAGATTACATTTTTATAATTTGTTTGTAAAGTGAGATTCCGGTTGGTACCGTCATGTCCTCTGTGAAAAATGGTGCATTCATTATTCAGATATCCATCAATCTGTACCAAGTCCCGCTCCGTAGCTGCGCGGTCTGAGGTATCATGCTTCAGACCGACGATACGGAATGTGTGCTGGTTTGAGTCTCGGGGAAAGAAATTTTCTCATGAGCTTTCGACCAGTATATGGGACCGGTGCCAACCCATCATCGTGAGGAAATTGGGGAGCTACAATAAGTAGCGTAATCCGGTCAGGAAAACTAGCGATGGCTGGGGGTTCGTCGTGCTGACCACACGTCACTCTGTATCTGGTTGGATGATCATTCACCTCTGCTTAGGCAGGTGAACGTGAGCCCAGCAGCCAGCTAGTCGTCTTTGGCTCTCAGAGGGCTGTTACGCCACAGATTATTATTATTATCAATTTGTACCACTAACCTTTGACTACTGGGCTGTGAATATTTTTTCATACAAATACATTTGATTCTTCAGAGATGAGACTGAACATCGTGGCCAAGTAGTTAGCATTGCTGCTTTGTATGTGGGTGGTCCTGGGGTAAAATCTAGACCCCTAGCTTAATATTCAATTGAAACTGTACTGTAAAGAGTTTTGCGTTATCTTCCTCCATCGTTATGTGCTGTAACGACTCTAATTCACACATTCTCAGTTCGTCTTTTATAATTATCCTTTCAATTAGTTCTGCATAACTTATAATTTGATAAAGCATTATTAAATGAATGAAGAATCAATAATTATGGTGAACTGTTTCTTCAGTCAGGGCCAGTACATCGTCGCAGGCTCTGATGATGGATCCTTTTTCATCTGGGATCGTCACACCACGAACATTATGCGCGTTCTCCGTGGCGACGATTCCATAGTGAACTGTCTGCAGCCCCATCCGTCTTACTGCTTGCTGGCCACAAGTGGTATAGACCCAGTAGTCAGACTGTGGAGTCCGAGACCTGAGGTAACGTGTTCACCCCCCCACAAATATTGTTGAACTATTTGTACCTGCAAAAACGTTTATTAATTGGCGCACAAAAACCTGCGTTAGGTGCATCTGTTTTACTTTGAAGGAATTAATAATTGTGGGTGTTCTGGGGTTCAGGTACCTGCTGAATGATTCAAAGGACGCTGAGCAACCAATGAACTTTCCTTACCTTTAGTTTAACTTTTAAATAATTTCCCCGCAATTATTTATTTAATCAAGAGTAGATTTTCATTTGGTTCTGTGTATGGTCTGGAGCTTTCACGGTGACTGCGTACAATGAATTATTCTTCGGCTACCAGACATGTCGTTTGAGAACAATCTTTGCCCTTGTCCTCAGGGTACTCCCGAGGATGAGGACAAAGATGGGCCGGTAGCCTCGAGAAGAATTTATTATACACTTGGGTCTAGGTTTTTTTTATGTTCATAGTTTCCCACATCCGCATTTTTAATACGGTTGGCTGTGCTGCACGCGGTCAATGTTGTTTTGCCCAAGATTGGAATTCAAGATCGGCAGAGGCAAGTGAACACGCCGTAGTTCCACTACGTTCATCCTCCGTGTTCTCTGTGCCGACACTTTGTCGTCAGCTGTGTTTTTGAATTTTTGAGATTGTCTGTCTGGAGAATTTTTGATATAAACCTGAAATTGAGAAAAGTTGGTGCCTGTATATAATTTCTGTGAACGTAGATGCACAAATCTGTGCCCGTCTCAAAAATGAAAATAATTACGCCAGCGATTTCCTTTTAAGGATGGCTCCAGCAACGAGAGGGAAGTGATCGACTTAGACGATGCCGCTTCAGCAAACCAGAAACGAATGAACGCCGATCCATTTGAAGTGATGCTGATGAACATGGGTTATCGCATCACGTCTGTGCAGGGGGAAGAAGGTGAAGGAGGAGGGGATGAAGGGGCGAGGGAAGCCCCAGCCATTAACTGCAGACCCAGTTAGCTGAATCTTAGTTCAGTTTGCGTTTAATGAGAGAGGAAGCGAGTGATACTAACAAAAGGTGGAATTGGAATTTAAAATTTGCAGTGTGTCGTGAACCGTTTGTTAGTTTCTCTCGCTTTCTCTCGTTACTGCTGTGAATTTCATTTTGACACTCTCGGCATTTCTGACCTTTGAATATCACTTTAGGAAGTGATTTAATTTGTTTATATTTATTCATAGCTTCAAAAGTAAATTACCCGAACTTTATATTTTAGATTAGATTTCTATTCCGTTACAGAACTTGGGGTCGCAGATGAATGAGTATCCTTTTGTGTTTCTGTATTTATTTCAAATTAGTTTATACATTAACACTGTTTAGTGTTAGAGGCTATAAATACATTTAGCCGTATTTTCTAGTTGGAATAATTGATTTTAAAAATTAAGTGGTTATGGTAAGTGATTTTTAAAATCTCCCCTGCATAATTAATATTAATAGCATTTATGAACTGCTACTGTAAATATTATATTCTTTCCACAATTAGCAAGAATTATATGAATCTAAAAATATGTTTACAGAATAAGCGTCGTACTTGTCTTACAAATATAATTTGGTATATATAAATGTCAGAGAAGATTAAAGTTGTTTCACCAAACTTATTACACAGTGAAACCTCATTAGATATTTCATAATCCAGTAACCGTCAGTCCTGCCGTGAATATATTGAATAAGAAGTTGTGGACGGCCGACAAGAGGTGGTCCTCCGGCTTGGGGATTGGGCCGGGGCGTTACGATTCCCCTATCACAATAACCTAATTTCTGGCGCGTAACTGAGGATGTGTACGTCATACTTGGCGAGCATCATAGCTACTTTATAAATATGTCGGTCACAAATTTATGAGTAGTACAGTGTTCCGAGATTATAGTTGTACCATTCGAAAGTTAACTCGTCGTCGAAGCTGCTTCTTTTCACAACCTACATTTAAGGAACACGAGTATGAAACTGTAATAAGATATGACCTTGTAACGTTTCATCACATACGTGACGGGCAGTTTAAAACAACCGTGTCTTTCCATTGAAATGTTTTATCCTAATTCTGAGGTTATATTCCAGAACACCCTGTATGACTGTTCTTAAGTCAAACCTACTTTACCATGTTATTGGAAAATATTTTTATTGCAGATTAAGATGGAAGGTGCATGGAGGAGAGAAATAAGTGCAAAATTTTAATTAGAGAATATGGCAGAGACCACTTGCTAGACCCAGGCATAGATGAGAATACGTGAGCTGGTTCAGAACGCAGGTGGAATTCTTTAGTGAACGTAGTAATGAACCTTCGGGTTCAGTAAAAATCAAGAATTCACTGACTAGCCAAATAACCATCGGCTGCTCACAGAACTCTTCGGCGTGAAGTCCGTTATTTAAACGGGACTGAACGCATTACTGTGCGTTGCAACAGAATATCTACATTGCGACGCATCCTACGGTAGTTTCAGTGAGAACGGATAATTTATGATGATCTTGTGTTTGTCGATGCTGTTTTTGACGGCTTCTGAACTGAGCAGCACGAGCAGACAAGTGCATCGTGACACCATTATATAAACCTTCCTCCTGTCTTCTGCGTCCGCGAAGTCGAAGTCTTCGTCGTCTATGACCATGACGACCACCTTGAACTCCAGTCCCTTTACACGCAGAACCCATGGAACTAGGAAATTATTCGGTTTGCTCGTCAGCAAAAAGCTTTCAACGTTTGCGAGCGCTTGCGGCATGAATCCTTGATCCACAAAATGGTTTTCAATTTCGCGGTTTATTACGTCAGGCCTGAAATCGCTGTTTACAAAAAATGGCAGGACACAAAGATCATTTGGCTTGATGCCTTTGGTGGAGCAGAGGTCTAGAATGACGGACACCATCGCTTGAAGACAAGATTGTTGACTGTTGCTATCCACCCAGTAGATGGGGGGCCCACTTATGTTATGTGCTATAGAGATCCCTTGAAGGTTTTGATACGCTTCCAGTTTAACTGCGGCAGGAAATCTCGGGACTGGCTCTTGATAAAATTGTTTGAAGACTCTGTAAATGGTGCCAGTTGACCGCACCACATTTGTTAATATTACGTCAGGAGTCTTCAGAATGTTCGGTGAATGCTTCGGGAGGAACAGAGAGGCCTGATTTATGTCGACAAGAAACCACAGAACACCCGGTTCTTGAGCACCAGCGCAAGGATTCCCCATGTGGTAATGCTTAAATATTTCTTCAAATGTTTGTGTGATTATTCTCTCTTCAAATGATAAACAGATTGCTTCAGACTCATCCATAAATATATGCTTATAACCTTTTTTATTTCCTTTCAAAAATCCATCTGTGCTGATGAAGAAACGCTGAGTGTCTACAAATTCTGATATTCCGAGGGCTTCCAGCTTCTGAACGACGTCGCAACGAATTCCTGGCCAGTAGCAAATGTAGAGAGCCCTGGAATTTTCATGGAGTTGTCCATCTTCGTACAGCTGTTGCAGCTTCCGCACAGTGAGCATCGTCTTACCGGTACCAGCTGCTCCGTGGATTATGAGGGGTTTGCCAGTCGGTCTCCGATTTAACAAGTCCACTTGTTCCTGCGTAACAAATAATACAGTTCTGTAAGCAGGTTTTTTTAATAAATGTAGTCTTCTGTTGCATGAAGGTTACTACAACGTGCAAATATATAATTTTTAAAAATGAGATTTTTACTTTAGAACATGTCATGATTGTTTGTCTTTGCATCTTGCCTCTGAGATACTTTGAATGTAAAAAGTTGGTACTACTGCTGTTCCCATTTTGTATCACTCGTCCTACCCCTTCCTTTGAAAATCAATAAAATGCTAACCCACCCTCATGGATAGTGGTCTTCTGGGTCGTTGCACCAAAACGCTACATGGCGCAAAGTCCAGCGTCTGTATTTAATCGGTCTAAAACCTCAAATCGTACATGAAAACCCTTGCGTAAATTGTTTCCGAGGATTACGTCTGGCTGCAAAAGATAACGTGAGCTGGGGTTGCTCGGTCAGTACGGCGCCCGAGTTTGGACTCGCGGCGGCAAAGGATTTTTTCCTTCAGACGTCTGCATCCGGACTGGCTCTGGAGCTCACCCAACCAGGGACAAATTTTGGCTGGGACGTGACACTGACCACTCGACCCCATCTGGTGATGTGGTTAAAAATGGGTAATAACTTTGTCTGATCTCGCCCCAGGCACCTCTGTGGCTTATAGTAGAAATAATGTCCGAGAGAGAAATTAATTCAGTCGTGTTAATGTTTACGGCAGATGACCTGAAGGATTTTACATCAACTGAATTGGGGGGAAATGTTATATAAAAAGAGTTCAGATGTAAGACATTGGACCGAAAGCGGTGTATGGGGGTTTGCGTAAATCTTGACTGAAAGAAATATCGTACCTGAGACAAAAGAGCCAGCATCCCTTCATGGATCTCATCAACATACACTCCGCAGCTCAGAACTATGAACCTAATTGAGGGAATTAAAGCACAGTTAAAGTTTGTAAAATATGGAGCTGTAGCGGTTGTGGTGAATTTAAAATTCTGAAGGATCAGACTTCACTTGTTTCAATATTGCTGCTACTTTTAGCAGATTTGTTTGCAACATGTAACATAGAATACGAAATCTGCGATACCTCTTGAGCAATACATCCCAGTGGTTGCTGTTCATACAGTTTCCATTTCGAAGAATCTCATCTTGGAACCACTGTATAAATTTTGCTGGCGTTTCGAACGCGTCCATAAACACGTGCAGTTTGCCGTCTTCCTTCCACCGTGAAATTGTGTTGTTCTGTGGATCTTTGGTCATGCACGATAGAAAAGGCCAGAAAATGAAACAGTTCAGCTCGCTGCTCAAGTCAGTACCTGAAAGATAAACCACAACTCAGGATTAATTCCAGCGACGTTTTGCGATATACAGAAATTTTACAATAGAAAAGTGAAGCTGCCCCACAATACGTCATGTAGGCACTTGGGGGGGGAGAGGTATATAGCTCCTAGTAATTCTTGATATCGTCACTAGATGGGGGTGAGCGGTCAGCATCACACCCTGGCCGTGCTTTACCCCCAAGAAAGGACCCCGGTACCCCTTAGACAGGAGGATGGCTGGGAGGCCCCCATTGGGGATCGAAGCCCGGTCGTCGGTCCGTTTTCTCTCCTAGTTGAACAGATAGCTGATAAATTGATCGCCTCGAATAACCGGAAAATTGCATTCTTAGCCTAGAAACAGGTTCCTCTTCGTGCGGAATTTCATCTTATTTTTTGAGAGATGGATGTTTCTGTTTCGTTCGGTCGTGCACTCACTCATTTCCACACTAGCCTGAAGCAGTTCCACGTGGTCCCGAAGCTGATGCTGAGCCGATCGCTTGCTGTTTTTGATTGCCTTTGCATCGCTAATCTTCATTCCTTCGCGCGATGCATCGCACGTTGACTTCACCTCCACGAGCGTCACGTGATTGTTTCCTACGACAAATCCAGAAATTACACGTGCGTTTAGATAATGTACGTTACGAACAAGTGGAGATTTTGGTTCTCACATTTTTCATTTAATACGGATACAAATGCAGTGCTGATAAAGTTAATTTATGTTAGAATTTAAGTACCGTTAAGTCCGCATAATTATAAATTGTAAATTAATGTACTTGCGTAGATTTGCTACGTGTCTTAATGTTTTTAATTTGATTTCAGACTTCAGGCCTCTGAATTATGACTTAAGATAATTTCTTTACTTATTTTGTATGGGTATGAAACTTAGTCTTTTAATTTAAAAACAACTGAAATTAAGTCCGTGGAAAACTAAGGAAGAAAGGTAATAAAGAATTATTTTAAAAAGGTTGTTTTGTTAAAGTAGAAAGTTTAAAAAGTTGATGACGGGTTGCATAACTAAGGAAAGAAGATATGCATGCATAATTATGATGGGGAACTCTCAGGGAAAGTGATCACTTGGAACCTAGACGTAGATGTAAGGATTATATCATGATTAATCTGAGGGTTTGGGTCGTGTTGATGGATGGTATCAGGGCAGAACTGGATAGGGGTTTGATGTTAACATTTTTTAATCTGTAAGTTGAACTATAAAGAGACGTTGTTAATCAAGTTACCGCAACAAATATTTTTATGTTTAAAATGTGAAAACACTGACCGTTGTATGAAGTGAATATCACGTAGTCATGTTCTCTCATCATCAGCTTCCCATTTCTCTCTTTGCGGAATGATTTCCCCCCGTAACTGCGTCCCTGAAAGAATACCACCCACAATCCAGGGATGTCCAGTTCTCTCAAACAATTGAAAACGTGGCTTTCTGCTTGATTGGCCTGAAAATACGATCGACAAGTTACGCGATAAATCTCGCAGTCATGAATGTGGATAGTACAGAAGCTAGAGGGGAATGGGTTCGATTCTTGGAAGGCAATATGGCTGCCCTGGCAGATTTATTGCATTAAAGGCGACATGACCGATTCCTTCGACACGAAATTAATCGTTCAATCATCCAGTCAATGTCAAACGAAGAAACAAGTGAACTGAACGACTTGTAAGTGTTATTTTAGCAGCGTGTGTTAATCTTACTTAATGGAAAAAAGCATACTTAGGTCTGAGTATGCATTCGGGAACGGATGTTGGAGAGGAAGTACACCCACTGTAGCAAGATAAGAGATTGAAAGTCGTGACTCACAGTCACACGATTCGATGACTAAGAAACCACTGGTCCTGGGGAGATAAGAACTTGTAGGATTTGAGATTTAGACGGCGGTGAGTCCGAAGATGGCTGTCCTCTGGGATGTTAGACGTTTACAGACGTTTCAAAGGCTCTTGCTGCCTCCATGACTCCACTCTGATGTCGGACGCAGCAAGGACCTCTGAAACGTCGGCAAACTTCTTCCAGACTACACGGCGTTACAACCCAGAAGGCGGCCATCTTAAAATTGAAAAATAAAAATGTCACAGTAACTGCAAACTGTTACCATTTATCACCGGGATTTGAAGTGTTGAAGTTTTCTCATCTTACGCCAAATGCGTCTGATGTAGAGGAAATGTCACTACCTGATTCAGAAAGACCATTACTTCCGGTTTCTGACGTCACTGCCGAAATCAGTTCAAGTTGCTTGTGACTTATTACCGAACGAAAGCTCAGTTTCAAACTTCGTAACGATTTTCATATTTTCTTTGCCGAATCGGATTATTCCTGTTTTATTGCGACTGTACACAACACACTTGAGCCCGTATCATTTAATGATCTATGCATTGTAGTGATTGTTTGTTTGTTTTGTGATAAAGATAAATGATTCTTCGTAGTGCTCATTTATTATCCGTGCTACTGCTCTGCTTTGCAACAATAATTACTGCGATGAAAACCAACAATTGGTGCCAAATCATAAAAGCGAAGTTATTATATCATTTCTTCGGAGTTCAATTTCGTATCTCAATCTGAAAATGAATAGAATCACTTCTGCGTTGATTTAACGTCACCTTAAGCGTTTTAATCAGGCAAAATGGCCGCTCGGATAATCAACGCGATGTACTTCTGCATATCTGTGTGTTTAATACTTATCACCTTGCCGCGGTATCAGACATCTCTTGACTGGAGTACACAATTTAATAAGTTCGCTTTGCTAATATGAACGATCCATATACAGAATCAACAAGATTAAGTCAAATGGCAAGATTGTTACTGGTTAAAGTTAAAAAACTGGTTTCAACTGGATGACTTCCGAACTAGATAATGAACATTGAGCCCCTTAAAAGGTTTTTTTTGTTTGTTTTGCCAACAGAGTGTGCTGTCAGCTTCTCAAAAAGGTTTTCTTTTTTGCCAACAGAGCGTGCTGCCAGCTTATCAAAAAAGGACTGTGTGAACCATTGAGTCAGCTGTTTGCATTACGAAAACAGACAATTCACGTTCAATCGATTCTGAAACCTACCTGTTGCTCTGTCCTGTGAATGGGTTGTTTTGGAACGCAGTACACGGAACATTTATTTCCTGGAACATGTGGGAACTCCTTCCCGATGTACCTGTCAACAATAAGGATATCATCAGAACAATAAGATGTAAGTTGACGTGGTTGAATAGGATCCACGAGGTTTTACCTCGTTATCTCCTCATGCAGCGACAGGCCTTCGCCAAACTCGACATATTCGTTGTGAACTGGCAGATAGAGCTGCACCTTGTCGGGTGATGATGTCATGTATCGGGCTACTCGCTCGAGACACATCTCCCTGGAAACTGAGCAAAAAGCTCTGTTAAGCGGTGTGCCATAAATAGTTCAGCTAGAAGTTTACCGATGTTTCAAGCGTACTTGCTCACCCCCCCCCCCTGATGATGGAAGCAGCAAGCACCTCCGAAACGTCGGTAAACCTTGTGACACTGCAACTGTGCAGCGTTCAACAAGAAAGTCTTCATAGTTGCAGTCGTGAGAACCTGAAATCTCACCTAGGTACAGAGGTACTCACACCTCAGAAACGGATAGGGTTTGGCGGCGTAAAATACAAGCGAAACAGGTTGTTGCTTTTAACTAGCTTCACAGAGTAGAATCCTTATTGAGAATCGAATATTTTATGAAAGCCTAAAAGTTCATTACCGTTTTAACAGGATTCTGTCGGCGGTACTCAGCCAGATGAATCCAATCCACGCCATATTTCCACAAGATCGATTGTAATTGTACCCTTCCGTCTACTTCTAGGTTTTCCAAGCTGTCTTTCTTATCAGAATGTTGGACGCATACAAAACAACGGGTAAAATCATGGTTTTGTGTATTTCGGTCTGGAAGACTTTTTTTTATATGCAGACCAGAAGTCAAAGCGTTCTCCGATCTGCTTCCAGTAATATAATTTACGCATATGGACGTAGCGTCTGCCTTGGTTCGAACAGCCGTCTCAAGGTCACCCCCTCGTCACCTTTATTTTGTTCAAACATCAGATAATGTCTTGTAACCGCGCATGCAAATACATTTCGGCGATAATTCTTTATGTAAACAATCCTCACACACACCATTTTTTTACATCAGGGGTAGTCAAACTGCGATGTTCACATTTTTACTTTCTCACGAGACTCCGTCCATCCCGTGTCGAAGTTAAGAATACGTGGGTTTATACCTCCACTCCTCCATACGCCTGAGTGGCGTTCACTGGGAACACTTTGCCTTTTGTTTTCATTTGACAGAATCGAGTGTCATCACTCCAGATTTGGTTTAATGCGTACGGTATTAAAATATCGAGGGCACCAATCAGAGGTTAGGATATCATGTCCGAATTAGTTATTAACCCTTTAAAACACAGTAATAAAAATATATGTACCACATACTTTACCAATCAATACCCTTTGCTTTCAAATCCTTTTCAATTAATTATTCGTCAAAATAAATTATAAATTAACATAATTTATGTACTTCCGAGACAAATAAGGGATGTAAAATTGCATGATGCAGTTTGGAATCTCTGTGCACTCTCCACTTGCAGGATGTAATTAATTTTTTTCGTTTACTCTCAGTTTATGGCGATGTATATTTCTTTTAAGAATCCGGCTGCGACAAAGCTGTCATAAATTTATTATTTCACACCCACGACGTCTCGATCCAGTACAGGCCCACATATGAGAAGCGCTTATGAATCAGCATTTCCTTACCTGCCCAGACGGAAGATGTCCTGTCCCGTGCGGTTCAGTATTTATGTGTAATTCACTCGAGCTCAACAGACATACTGACTCATGACTTCCTGAAGTGAGTGAGAATTGTCGTCAAAACAACGCTTGGCTGTCGTCACGGTAATCTCGAATGTGTTTCCTTGTTCACGTGGTCAAAATCTCGACAGACTCACCGATTATTCTGTACGAAAGAATCCTGATAAGCTGTAATAATAAATAGATACTTTTAAAATATACCAAAGACTGAGAACATGCCACCCAGTTTTGATTAATATTTCTGGAATACGTTAGTTTTTAAATTGAATTTCTGTTTGGCTTAAATGTTCATTATTGCACATTCAAATCCATTGTTGCCAATGCAATCGCGGTAAGAAGTGAATCTAATTGAAGATACAATCGTTGATTGTTAACATGTGGGGTTAGCGTTTTTCATGACGGTTAAAAGCGTCTTTACTGATAAGGTATCGTCCATTCCGAAACACTCCATGCGTATCTGTAATCAGTAATTTTGTCGGTACAAACAAAGACCTGCCTCCAACTGCTTGTGACACCTGTTGGCGAGTTTTTCTAGTAAATATGATTGTAGTTCTGAAATATGCCAACAGAGTGTGATAAAGTGCAAGACCTTGCCATAGCTCCAGGGTGCTGGAAGACCCAGGTGACTTCAAGTGAGGTACCTGGTCGACGAAATGACGGTCGACGTTGTATTTCTCCGGGTTTTTTTCCGGGTTTCCTCTGGTAATCCTTATTCCATCATTGTTCCGGGCACATGTGTCACCTCCCCATGAGGCGTGCGGTAGTCCTGACCAATCAGCACATTTTCATGCCCTTGGTAAATACCAAGTGGTATAGGAGTCTGTGTTAAAAAGGGAAATGACCCTATGAGTTTCGAAATCTTCCTTTACGATATTGTATCGAATCTGCCATGTCCTAAACTGGTGGTTCTTCTCAGTAAGGTTGCAACCTCCCTGGTAAGAGGTGGAGGTTGGAACTGTCAGAGGATCGCGTAAAAAAGTGGGCTTTGAAACAAAGGAACGCGTCTCATTGCAAATGGCCGCCAAAGGTTGATCTCAGAGGAGAAGTGGGGTGACCTTGAAACTTCATTCGGACTGCAGAGTAGCGGCATATTTATCTTTTTTGTACATTTTTCTTCTAATTTTCTTCTTTCTTTACATTAAATGACAATGCTTGTCAACAATGCTTTTCCTGCTAAGGGATTTTGAGCCTTAAGGGATAATATTAAAACAATGTGCCTTTACTATAGATTTTTCCGTCGTCCTTGACGAGTAATTGACTAGTAGGTTTATAAAACGGAAATAAGATCTACGTTGAATTTATCTGAGCGACCATCAGCTTCTCAAGAAGCATTCTGTGTCAATTTAATTGATTAAATGTGCAAGATTTTAGCCAGGAGACACCAAAATATTTTGAACTAAATATTATACCAAGAATCTGCAGAATTTAATCAGCTGTTAACCTAACCTCGATTACTCTTGTTGGAACAATGTCGCCTTTCGAGATGATTTATTAGCATTCTCTTAACTAAGCAATAAACTGAATCAAACCTCATCATCTGAGGCACACACTGCCATTTTGAGATATCCTTGACAAAGAACATTTAGTGCCTCCGGGATGGGCGGATCTCTGTGACCTTGCAACAGCTTCATACCTCGGTTCGTGACATTGGGAACCAAGGCGTGGCTAAGCAAGGGTACGCGGCACGACATTCTGCTACCAATAAGACGGACGCCATTTCTCATGTTCCAATGATTAAATGTTATATATGGAGTCTGTATTTTGGTCCATAACAAACCGCAGTGACCATTATATTTTACGTAAAGGTGAAACAAAGTTTCGTCAAATTTCTAAAAACATTGTTAGAACTTGAAGGACAGAGTATTTGTGGGTTTCATGATTGTCGGAATAAACAGCGATCATTTCCTAAACAGCGTTAACCAGCTGATGTTTCGTAATGGTGAAGACTTGTGTTTTCTTCGCGGTACGGTCTGGATTCTTAAATATAAAGAAGACGAGCTTCGGCTGTGTACAGGACTCGAAGTAAATCAGAGCTTAAACAGCGTTAACTGGTTGAGCTTTGTAATGGTAAATTGCGGTGTTTTCTTCGCGGTACGTCCTGGGTTTTTTTATGAATTATTTAGATGTTCTCCCCCCAGATGTAAAATGTTTCTCTTCTCACTTCTCCCCCATATTTGTACTTGTATTATCTATCCTTCCTCTATGTCTTTATTTATTTTTTATGTGTGGTTTGTGCACTTTTAAATGGTTCTGTTGTTGACATTGCACCTGCACAAAGTGATAAATTCTATGAGACCGAGGAGTCCTAGTTACGTAACCCAAGAATCTGTCAACACTAAAATACAGCTGAAGTCGCCTTTGGAGTGTTTACTGATGATTTTACATGAAGTAAATTTTCATGAAAACCAGAAATTAGCGAAATGGATCGAAGAATTGTCATTCTCTGAGAAAACTGTATTTTGGGATGTTTCATCGTGTAATGTGGTAGAAATCGACCGACGTTTCAGAGGTGATTATTGCTTCTTTTAGCAGGGCAGTCGCTTTCTCAAACGACTGTTAATTACTATGAGACCCCGAAGTCTCACCAGTAAGGATTCTCTGTTTGCGAAGTTCTTCGCCGTTTTCTGTTGTATGCATTTGTATTCCCGCTGTACCGTCAACACAGCGAAATACTGCTTTGTGGTAAATTATGTGTTATAGACCATGGTGGTCACTCCACTCAGTTATATCTTTAATTTATTCTGACAGTTCTCATTTCCTTAACTTTTCCATGTTCCAGCTTCTTTCCCAATGACGTTGTTCGGAATTTCATACAGTACCATTTGGTCTTTGTGTAGAATAAAGATCTCCCTATCAGCAAGTATTTTTTATTGTAAATTCGTAACACAAGTATCAAATAACTGTCCTCACTTGGACGCAGGAAATGTACTACGTGCTAGCATGTGGGGATTCCCCATTGACTTTCCAACTGGCGAAAACGTTTGTTGAATAACAAGTGTGTGGCTTGCGTAAGAAAATTTCTTTTTCATTTTTTTTCTTCTAAGTGACCGATCTGTCTCATTGCCAAATGTGGCTTTTACGACAGGGTGTTAGGAATTCTTTGTTCTCGGGCTACCAGCTGTCTCAGGTAGTTTAATGGGGCAAACATCAGCTTTTCTTGGCCACCTGAAGCGATCATCGACTTCTTAAGAAAATCTCTGCTCCATGGATATAGCTGGATTCTTAGGCGTTGTTCTAGAGGCTGATTTACCGATCAAGAGCTGCTTCGAAGCAATTTAGAATGAAATTTGAGGTGCTTTATACAAGACGAAAGATCCGCTACGGATTCGTACTACAGTATTATTCCCGGATCCACTTGGTTGGAACTTGAGAAGTGACGTCATCCGACCAGTCGATAGGACCTTGCCTCCCACAACTGACCTAGGCCCATTTGTGCGTCGTAACCTGTCTTACCGGACATGAAAACTTCCTGGAGCAGTTTGTATTGCATTTTCCCTAACACAACGCACAGTTTTTCATATGACCTTAGAATTTTAAGCGTACTTTTTCACCTCGCCCAAGAATTTTAAGGGTACTTTTTTACCTCGCCCCAGAATTTTAAGGGTACTTTTTCACCTCGCCCAAGAAGAATATTAGCGCGTGCATTGTTCTGTTAGTTGTTATACTAAACGTTATCACCGAAAATATCATTATTTAAATGTTTAACATGCTACGTTGATCGATGTAATGTTTAACAACAATGCTTCTGCTTCCAAGAAAACATTTCACAAGTAGGAAAACGGTAGCTGTTTATTCAGAGGACCGACATTTTGAAATACCGAAATGCTAAACGTTAAATTGAGAAGAAACGTGTAATTAACGTCGCCTTCTGAAGGGCTATTAAAGCTTAATTTGCAGGTGTTTTGTGGCGAGGGGAGGGTGTTCGGAGGATGAAAGTGTACATTGTATTCTTGTAAACACGGTAGTTATTGAGGAAGTAGAAAGGTAGACTGATAAAGGAAGAAATAACGGAGGAAAAGATGATAAATTATGAAGTACGAAGAACTAGAACAGGTCCAGCAACGCCGTGTCTTAAGTGAGTGGCCGTGTGTTCGATTCCTCGGCGCAGGTCACCTGCGGGGCGGAGGGGGGGAGTGCCAAACGGTTGGAGGGCGGGAGTGGGGGAAGGGGCGAGCAAGGTCGCCCGCTCGTTCGCCAGGTGGTCGCGCCACTTCACTGTACGGCCGAAGTGTCTGTCTGTCGCTCTGGTGCTGTATCAGCAACATGCAGGTAAGCTCATAACCGGGACGACCCCGACGACGACGAACAGTGGGAAATAGCAGATTGTTCCAGATCGGGAATCAAACCTTTTGACTTTGTTCGTGTCCAGAGGCAGTGTGAGTGACTGACTGGAGCTAGGGCTGGGTAAATGAGGGTACTGATTTGTTTAACGACGCTGTCAGTTGTGTATATTATGATTAATGCATGGTTAATTTTAAGGCTAGGGTCGACCTAATTTAAGATAGTATTCCAGCATTTGGCTACAGGGACTGAAGTAAACCACGAAAAACGTAGCTTTCCCGGACGAGAGATTTGAACCCGAGACCGCACGAGTACGAAGCAGATATGGTGTAACTCGCCCTCGAATTTTGGTACTGTTAACGTTTATAATTTTGTGTTTTGAATACAGAAAGAATTCTCCAATGGAAGGAAATATTCGTAGGTTTATTTGAATTAAATTTGGTGCGGACACCTTACACCATTTGAAACACGAAATTAGACTAAATAATAGTCTATTTAAAATTCCAAGTTCTTACCTCAAAGAAAACACATGAATGCGAGCTGCTTAAAACAGATCGGCGGGCCACGAGTTGATAACCATTCTTTATATATTTTTTTCTGTACTTCTCTTTGAATTTATGTCAATGTTTTAGGTACAAAGTTAACATGTAGTCACCTCGCATTAAGTAAACATTGTGACTAATCCCTGGCAGAAATGATTCTGGACTTGACTACCTACACAAACGTTATAGTTTGTCGATCTTTTGTGATTGAATTGACACTGTCAAACTTGCACCTGGGACCTCTCGAATACTGACGTGATGAGGACTTTTTCTGCGATGTAAGATGTTGATTAAGCGGGCAACAGCAATATTTATGTAGTATCTCTACTGTTAAGTATGTCTGTCAACAGCTTAATTGCGAAGGGAACTCAAACACAGATCTTAAGTAGATTCCAACTACGCGCGTTGCAGAAAGCCAGCGGCCTTGGCTATTCCAAGCACATTTCTGGATAAATTACTCGATAATTCAGGGGAATCTTTGAGAAAATTACAGCTTGTCGGTTGGACTAGAATTCCATCGCCTTTAATGAACCAAAATATTCATTACCGTGTTCATATGAGCCTGCAACACATAACCTTCCACTAAAATCCATTTTAATATTATCCTCCCATCTACGTCTAGGTCTTCCGAGTGGTCTCTTCCCTTCAGGCTTTCCGAGTTTTCTTATCGGTCCCATGCGTGCTACATGCCTCACTAATCTCGTCCTCATTGATTTGATAATCCTAACAACAGAAGGGTGTGAGGTTTTTATAGCGATGATTTTCCTGCTTGGTTGAGCCCATTGAAGTGCAGTCTGTGTCGCCCTGATGATGGAGGCAGCAAGGACGTCAGAAACGTTGGTAAAATTCTAGCAGACTACGCAACAACCAGGAAGGCGGCCATCTTAATCCAAGTTACGAAGCTTTGCATTGTGTAATTTTCTACATCATCCATCCACTTCGTCCCTCTTAGGTCCTAATGATCTTCTAGTAGAGTAGGGACATCGCATTTTCGTACACGCAGCGTCAAGAACTCAAAATATCACCGAAATTAATTTATCTCGACGGACTATCGATTCTGTGTCTGCGTTCGCGATACGTCATCAATGTGGCCGTTTTGAGGGAATCAAAAATTTGCAAACGTTCTGCTTTGTTCCCCTGTTAAGTCTGGACCTCGCTAACGGTGTCTTTGTTACTTAATTCTGTTATCTGTCCAGTAACTCGCACGTGTTCAGTTTCTCACTTTCGAATCTCGAGTTTCGCTTCGACACCGGCTTTTGGATGGAGTCCAAATACTGTTCCCTCACTCGGTGACCCAGTCACGAACAGGGTACGCGCTTAGAAATATTCAAAGTTCGTAGTTTTCTGAAACCACTCCCCGCCACCCCCAGCATCCGCAATAGGGTGACGTAATTGGGAAATTTGAAACGTCACATGACTAGCAATTCGTCATTTATACAGGTCACCTATTAGTATTTGTTGATACGGGGCTTACGAAGGTTGGAACACGTAGCTGGGTACGAGAGACAAGATGTACGGGCAGTATTTTGGTGGGGAAACTCCTTCAGAAGCTGTCGGTTGTAAGAGGATAATATTAAAATGGATCATGACAAAATATATTGTGACGTTTTGAGATGGATGAAACTGGTTCAAGTTCGTGTCCAATTACGTTCTTTGGTATTAGCGGTATTTAAACACTGGGTTTCTTTGCTTATTTAGACATTTAGTCTGCTACGTATTTAATTATTTAACCCCTTAAAACCCAGTGGTAACTATATATACCACTTGTTTTACCAGTCACGAATTCCGCTTAGTGTTTCGTGTGATTCTAAGTTTAAACAGCGTTAACCAGATGATCTTTTGTAATAGCGATGTTTTGTTTTCTTCGCGGTACGGACTGAATTTTTGGACACATGAAGAGTTGTTGAACTTTGAAGCAGTTGGTACTGAGATTTATAAAGCGTTAACTCGCTTACCTGCGTCATTTGTTCAGTGCGGTCTATCATACCACCGTTTCTTCGGAAACATAGCGTCACGACGCTGAGAAACGCAAAACAACCCGCGTGTGAAATGCCTCTTCCGCGTGGACATTGCTCGTTAGCAATGGACCTCGTTAAACACTTGTCTCTTGCGAAACTGACTTTCCATCTGAGCGAAAGCGAGAGTGGAACCCTGGTAATTCGGTTGACACCTTGTAGTGGGGGACTTTGTTAAATCCGGCCGACAAATTCCATGTTTTCGTCTTCCGAGTTATTTCATCGAAACAATCAGATTTCACCCCCCCCCCTCCCCCCAGAAGTGCTACATGTTCCATCTATATATTCTAGGGCTTCAATAATTACTAGAAATTCCATTTTGTGATGTGATGCCATTTTGTTCTGAAATAAAACATTTCGTGATTTATTTTTTGTCACACAACACGTCACGACCATTTCCATCCACCATTACATCTGATCATCCACAGATGTGCCACTCTTTGCCGGTTATTTGTAATTATGCAGTAATTTTAAAAATAAACGTTAAAATAATCAGAAATCAAAATTAAAGCATCAAGACGAATTAAGAAGGGAGGACATTGCTGGAGCTACAAGCTTCGTGTGAGTTATCGCCGATAATTGTGGGGTCAAAGACTTGGTTATTGTGGTAACAGAAGGAACAAACACACGTAGTCTCATTCCATGTGGCCATTGCACTCGCCAGTGACGCGAGTCTGTAAATTCCATGTCCAATTTAGACGACGAACTTGGATGAATTCTTGGAGGTACACGCTCAGACTCTGAGCTAATTCGATTCTCGTGCATGTCGATTGTCCTTTGTTACGGAAGCGTAAATCGTGTTTCGTGAAAACGCAGGCCTTTCAGAGAGTAACAACTTTTGAGAGAGTCTTTGTCATGATTGAGGAACTTCAAGGATGACGTGTTTTACGATTTCATATAAACCTTTGTGAATGGCTAAGGATTCCCCCACCGAGGTCTTCATGTAAAGTGTATGATCAAAACCTAAATTAAAAAGTGTAGACAAATTTTTGGTGAAACTTGACGAGACAATTTCGGGACGGAACTTGCCGACAGAGGGATTTGAACAGGCTGTCCGCGGGATTTGCGTTCAAGTCTGTGAACGACTGCCGATTTAGGAACAGAATCTAACGCTCCCGAGGACTGTTTCTGACTTGCTTGACTGTACAGAAACCGTAGAAAACTTGTTGTAACCGGTTGCCATTACATTTTATGATGGCGGAACTTACCTCCACGGACCAGTCCTTGAATCTGATAGTACGCTCACAGGTTAATTACCATTTTACAAGAACCTGCTACTTTTCCCAACCCGGAACGAGATGAATTCATTTCACACCCTCCAACCCTTTTTCCCAAAAGATACATTTTAATATTGTCCTCCCATCTACGCCTAGGTCTTCCGAGTGGTCTCTTCCCGTCAGGTTTTAGACCAAAATTTTGTGTGCATGTCTCCCACTCAAAAAATGAGTTAAAATTCGAGGCCCTGTGTAATTTTAATTGCGAACCCCCAGCTGGAAGACCGCTCCTGATGAAATAAGTCGCCAGACGTTTTGATGTGACTTGATGTATTCGTCGCTCGGTGCGTGTCTGCGGGCTGCAGCCAGGGTGACGTAGTTGGCCATTAGTCGCCGAAACAAAAAGTTCACCTGTGATCAAGGTAATTTGTTCGTCACGTCACGTCCCTTGCTGAAATGGCCCGCGGACTGAGCAAGTTCGTGTTTGCGCTCAGTCGCCGTCTTACGGGAACTGATACAAGACAGGCAAAAGAGTGCTCCGAAGGATTGCGTATACAATTTTTCAGAGTAGAAACACCATCAGTAAAGGCGTGCAGAGGTCCTTGAGGTGATACTCCATGGAGTATCTTGGCATTATATACGACGAATCCGGACTTTTAGGAAGAATATTTATTAATTATTTATTTATATTTGGCTTCTGTAACGACTCTGTCAGTAACCGAGACTACAAGTAGATAAAGCGTCGGGTGATAGGATGAATAATGAATTGCAAAGGATATGGAAGGAAACGGTCTTGCCCTAATTCAAGTGTCCGTCCAGGAAATTTGTCCATATTGGCTGAGGAAAATTACGAAAATCTGATCCCCGGGTCTAGATTTTACCAAAGTACTTCCCGAATTCGAAGCAGGAATACTAACCACTCGCACGCGGATTTCTTTACTAAACTTTCTGCTTACACTGTACTTCCTATTAGCCTTTCATAAAATATTTCCTTAACCTTGTTAGGTTGACAGCCGGTCTTACTCCGACATTTTAAACAGCATCTAGACCAAACGTCGTGGTGTACTGATTGACGTTCCATGTTCGTAATCGGAAGGTTCCGAGTTCAGATATCAGCCCGTGTCTATAGGCAAATGCTGGGATTGCACCTTACAATAGTCCATGTACCTTCCTTCCGTGTCCTTTCCAGTTCATTATTAATTTTTAGTGTACCATTACGTACGTTGTAGCTGGTAAAGCGTCGTTAAACAAGACACGATCATCGAGGAGTGCAAAATGGCAGACACTCTCGGATAAAGCGCGTCCTGTATTACGGTAATTAAAATAGTAAAAATTTTCTGATTTCAGGGAAATTTAATTTTGTTGGGTTTGGTACTACTGCTCGATGCAGTTTGTACCGTCAGTGGATCCGTAAGACCAGCTTCAGTTGCGGAAGTCCGCGAGGTCGTGGTCTGGGGTCGAGACAGGGACATTCGGAAAGAAATACAAGAGGGAATTCTGTTGCCACCGCTCTTACCAGAATTCGACGTCCGGGGACAGTCCGTCAACCTGGTCCGACCCGTCACGAAGGCAAATTCTGTTCCTCAACAGCAGGTGTTTCGCACTCAGGCTTTGAACGCGTCCCCGGAACACAAGGGCGATGATGATACTTTACCGATGTCGTACGTGGACTCGTCACTGTTTCGAAGGAGTAACTCTGAGGCAGAAATTGCTCCGTCAGAAATAGTCACGGGAACAAAAAAGTTTCCAGTTAAATCTTCTCTTTTGGATGCGCACAAAACACAACCTAACAAAGCATGGAAAATGGAGAAGAATTCCGAAAACAGAAATAAATACGAATTGAGGCAGGATACGACAAGCGAGGACACTCCTGGTGACGGACCAACCTCAAACCCTCCTTTCTGGAACCACCCGCTCGTAGCTGACGAAGTCTCCGACACGTTTGCAAGATTGCCTTCCAACGAGGAATACGACAGAAATTATCGATATATGCATTCCATTCTGTACGGCTTCAACGCCGATTTCTGAAAATGTGCCATTTCCAATGTAAATGTCTGTATATTGTTCCAATAAAATTATTTTGTACTGTTTTACATTATTTCAGAGCTTGTTAATTAGTTACTTCTTCTGATGACGTACAACTTAAATTGTTTCAAAATCACGAATAGTTAGTGTTAATTGTTCAAAGATGGCGGGGCACGTTTCTTTCATTGACCTTTTTAAGAGCCCATTACCATGCTGGAAAGAAGAGATATCTCTCGAATGGATGATGGACGCTTTCTCAATTGTACAGGTTACGTGGCATCGAATGAGAGAATGATTATGAATTAAGAAAATAGTTGAACGTGGCAACCATTGGCCATTTGCAATTTAATCTCCCACAAACTTCTTGAAAGTTCTGGGGAACTCAGATACAATGTCGCGCAGGACGACCGCCTTTCACGACAAGAATCGAATCGAGGAGATAATATTAAAAGGGGTTTACAAATTAGGACGTAAGATATACGGTAGGATATTGTCCACAATCACGTGATTTTGAGAAGACTGTTGAACTTTCAGTTTTCATGACCAGCATATAGGTGTCGGTTGTTCTAGAACAGTGGTATTCAACCTGGGGTACGCGAAGACATCTTAGGGGGTACGTGAAATTTAAAAAAAAATATTATTTTATGATAAACACTGAATAATCAGTAATGTAATTTATTTAATTAATTTTAGATGTAGATTATATAATATGTAAAACTTGAATTACACACCAACAACTTTCGGGGTACAAATTTGAAGAGAAATTATATCTGGGGTTACACGAACAAAAAAGGTTGAATACCACTGGTCTAGAATAACTGGTAATGGCTGCCACTCGTAACGCGCTCTGTCGAGATTTTTTCTTAAAGTATTTATCATTGTGGCTAAAAGATGGCAGGCAAAGGCTTTTTCTGAAAGCATAACGTTTGTTTACAATTTATTTACATTCTCACGTCGTTTGCATGTTTGTGTTAGTTTTAACTCTAAATATTATTTGACCCAAACGTCTCTTCTACGTATTATGTATCACATTTTGAAATACGGATGAAAATTTGTGACACTTTGAGGATACAAATGTATAGAAAACTTTGCTGCTTTGTAAAAATATGTCACTGCTGAAAGTTTTGACATTTTTGTCGGTAAGGACATGTCATAGGGGGGGGGGGGGGGGGGTAATGCAGCCTTAAGTTTTGCGACGTAAGTAGTGAAGTATTTTCATTATAATATCTATTTCTTAAATTTCTCAGAAAAAAGTGCTTCGTACTTACGAATTAGTTTATAACGACAGAATATTGACCTCTTTAAGAATCTGACCAAGGACCGATAATGCGATGTACAGTTTGTCCATTTCAACACTGGATTTATATCTGCAATAAATGAACTCTGAAGTCAGTGAGGGCCACAAAGACAGAAATAAAAAAGTCTTCCCGCTTGAAGTTTTCAGAATCTTCCTTGGACGATCAGCTGCTGAATCATATTTGCTAGAAAAGGTGGTGAAAGGTTTAGGAAATTTATTTATGTCTCAGGCATGTTTTAAACACCTTCTACCTTCCCAGATTTAACACTGTGTGACTTGTAAAAATCACATACTTCCTCATTATATAAATTGTTCACTGCATTCTTAATTTTAAATATTTTCTTAGGTACTTTGTTTCTAGAGACGTATAATTTATATTCTTCTCTCAAACTTGGAGACCACATTTCGTAGCCACATAAAGCAAGTGCAAAGATTATAAGTTTTCTGTTATCTTTTATGAGAACTGGAAAGAATTAAGCGTAACTGTAGTTGATTATTCAATTCAATTCAATTCTTTATTATTTGTGTGATGTATCAACAGCCAGATGGCCAATTACAGATACAGCACAAAGATGAGCTCATGAATACAATAAAAACATAAAAGATAAACAAGCAATATATAAAATACATTGTTACGGAGGACGTTAATACACAAGAAAATTGCAACTAAATATATTAGGATATTTGTAAAAATAATTTAAATAAATTAAGTAAATTATACTATTATAGAATGTGAAGGAGTGTGACAATTTTCGTCTCGAATATGTCCAAATCCCTGCAGACAACATTAGCAGCTGATGCGCATCTAGCAGAAGGACTGTTTTTGATCAAAGGGCTAAAACTGAACATAGAAAAATCTCTCAGATTCCGAGCAGGGATGCGGAGACCGACAGCTTCCAGAAGGGAAGGACAGCATTTAAAACCGCGGTAAACCTGCGCAAGGAACAGTGCATCACTGCAATGCCTTCTCTTACGCAGGGT